ACGAATCCAAACAAGGACCCTATGTTTCTAAGGCAACAAAAAAAGCACTCATGATAAAAATCTTTAGTTCAACACCAAATGCTTGGTTTATGGATTCTTGGAAAACATTCCGAGAGTTAGAACAGATGGACCACCATACTGGCTAATATTTGTTGGTCAAAACACAAGATACTGTGAAGCCATACCATTATGGTCCAAAAATATTTTAGATATCTTAGCAGCTTTGACAATATTCGTTGACAAATACCATCCAACAAAACTAACATCTGACTGTGAAAGTTCTTTCAAATCAGACGATGTAAAAAACTATCTGCGTTCAAAAAATGTAAACCAATATTTCATTGTCGACCAAAACCATTCTGCTCTTGGTGTCATTGACGGTTGTATAAAAATGTTAAGAGACTTAAACCAACCACAAGGTGGTGAAGCAAATGAAATGTCATATGACGACAAATATAGACACTTCTCCATGGCAAAGATGAGACAAGTTTTAAATATTTACAATAGCCGTAAACAAAAAGGTTTGGGAAACCATTCCCCCGAAGAAATGAAAAACAACCCTGACTTAGAGAAAGACTATATATTTAATAATTTAGTCAAAAGAGACAACAAGAAAGAATGCCGGGCTTCAAACTTCAGAAAGGTGACAAAGTAAAAATAGAAATACCTAAACGCGACCCATATGAAAATACTATTGACTATGACAACAATGGGAACCCGACAGGTACTCACATTCGTGTTCGTAAAAATAGAAGAAAGTATACAAGAGAATATTATGAAGTTTTAGGCAAACATGGCAAATGTACACACTGCAAGCAGAAGATAAAACTACTATTGTCAGACCTCGTTTCAAACTTGTCAAAGTTCAAGGTGGTATACTTTCAAAGACAGTTCCTAACCAATATAAGACAACTCCTGACGAATATGCTAAAGAAGTGGAACATGACGACTAAGCAATTCTATACCATGCGTAAACTGTCATGTAAGGTGGCATGTAGTCTTTACTTTGTCCCGTTGTTTGCGTATATCCCGAAACGCGATGTGTATGGTTTCCTCCTCCCTCAGTGTTACTCCAGTAACAATTTATAGCAAACTTAACGTTGTCTTTAACATCATATCCTTTACCTTTTGTCATTGCTGACCAATCCCAATATCTATGCTTATGCCAACCTGCTTGAGATGTACTTAAATCTATGTAGTGACTGTGCGCAGGTAAATTTTCACCTGAAATCGTTTTACTTCCACCTGTTTCCTTTGAAGAGTTTGCACAATACAAAAACCTGTCGACTATTTGAGTCCAAGTTCCAAAACCCAGAACTGTTTCTGGTCTGGTAGAGTTCATTGACGTATAAATAGAGCCTATAGGATATAATGTTTGAAGTATTTCTGTCTTTAATGTTTGAAGCTCTGTTTTGTCTGCTTTCTTGTCATATAAATCTTGAGCAGTGAATTTAATATTATGTTCATCCTTCATGACATAAACATCTTTACATCTAATGTTTCTCATCGTCGTTATGTCGTCATCCGATGTTAAACCTTGTGGAAAGTTAGGAGGTTTCCAATATAATACATCCCACCAGTTTCTTCAACCGTTCCTTCAATACTTTCTATAGCAACAGTTGTAAAACTTGTATGTGTATGGTTCTTATCTGCTTTCTTTTCAAGGCTAACGTTTAAGTCTGTTATTTCAGAAGATGTATGTGTATGTCCAACGGCACTTTTCCTGTTTAAGGTTTCTTGTAAGTTTGTAATATTTGCAATGGTATGTGTATGAGTCTTTTTAGAATATTCGTTTTCAGCTCTTGTCACTTCACTTGACATTTTATTGTCAACATATGTTTTGTCTGCTAGTTCAGGATGAGTATGTTCTTTTGTTGCATATGTTGCATCTGCTCTGTCATGTTCTTCTTGAACTTTTTCAATGACATATGTTTTGTCTGCTTTGTTGTCAACATCTGCTTTCAAAAGAAGTTCTTTTATAGGTTTCTCGTTTAAAGTTCCTTTTGTTGGATTTATACAAACAGTATGGTTCTTATTGTCTTGAAACAGAAACTCATCTGTCATTGGGTTTAATGTCAGTTTTAAGTTTCCTTCTTTCAATGACTCAGATATCTTAGAATAGTTTGAAAAGTTTGTTGTGTTCTTATTTAGAGCTTGTATAATGAGTTGTCGGTTGTGTTGTATTTCTCTCATAGACGCTGTTTCATTTGACATTTTTATTCTAGATAAAATATGCTTTCAATAGAAAAAGAAAATTCAAGAGTTGCTACAACTAAACCATTAGATGAACTTTTTACGAATGTCGGTCAAAAGTTTGAGACAGAGACCGTAAAGCATGAAGGCTATCGTTTTGACTACCCGTTAAGATGGTTAAGAGACCCATCTGTCACAAAAGCTATTGGCTTTCGTAGAATGAAGTTCATTTCAGAAGCCATACATGGTTTCCCATTTACGGTCGGTTTTGAAGTTCGATACTATAACAAAGAAAAACGTATGTATGAGAAATTTGAACAGGGAAAACTTTTACAAGTGAATTTGCTTGTAAAACTTAGAAACAACTCTTCAAGCTTTTCAAGAAAAAATAAACGACATCTATATCGAATATGCAAAGCAGTATAACATTGACGAAGGAGAGTACCATCTCGATATTATATATGACAGGAAAAATGCAACTGTTAAAATCAATAGAATAGAAGACCTTGGAGAAAACGTTTATATTTCTACAAAATATAACAATTTGGCATGGTATAGATTTCTGAGGATGTTAAATCAGCCTGCAGAATATCCAGTACACCCGGACTTTTATGAAGTCGAAAACCCTAATGGAACATATGAAAATGTTTTCGACTCAGATGCTATTATCGTTCATGCTTCATTTTCTGGTGCGCAAAACTCTTTTTTATGCTTGGCAAATGACTTTTACGAAAAACCTACAAAGCTATATGAACCACCAAGTGGAAGTATTTCAGACTTTCAAGTATGGTTTACAACAGATGGAAGAAGAGAATAGTTCCATTATACCATGCGTTTTACTTAGAACTTAGTTTCATATACAACTACTATCGAACGGTAAAAAATAATTTTTTAATACGGTTGAGGTGTTGGATTTGGTTGCCAACTAGACTGTGGTGCAGGTTCAGGCTGTTGTATAACAGGAGCTTGTTCTTCTGGTTCAGGGTCTTTAGGTATAATACCAACAAACTGACCTACTCTTTTACCAATATTTTTGACTCCGTTCCAAATTCCTCTTCCTACGGTTTTTATTCCATTCCATATACCTCTTCCAACTCTTCTGAAGAAGTTTCCAATACTACTGAAGAAACCCATTTTACTATATGTAAAAATCTAATGTCCGCCTAGTCTCTTACGTTTCCTGTTGAGTTCCATAGCATTTTTAACTGGAGCTCATACATTCTGTTTCTCCTCTGGTAGAAAACATATTCTGGGTCAACTCCTGTGTTCGCGTCATCTGCATAAAGTTGTTTATATCCCACTTCAGGGTTTGTATAAAACTCTTTCCATCTCATATTTGCATACCATGGTGGCAAACCTAACGCAGCGTCATTTGACATGGCAGTTTGCATTTGTACATCTGTTGGCACTTGACCATAGTTTGCCATTGCAGTTTGTATTCTAACTTCATTTGGAATATTCTCTGGGTTTGGTTGTCCAGGTTGCTGTGCATTCGCTAAGTTCTGTGCGTCCATTTAATATTAGATAAAAATATCTCTTACGAGTACATATGCTGAACATTTGCAGGCATTGGTTCATCTTTATATTCTCTGTACTTTTCTGCCACGTCAAATAAATAAATGACACAATGGAAAAAACCTAAAACAAGTAGTCCTATTTCAAACCACATTTACTTACTAGTAAAATTTCTTTGTTATGACACTTTCTCCGGTTTATAGGACCTCTCTCATATTCTATCTTGTCATATCTAAACTCATAGTCATGTATGTCCTCTAACCATCTCATAACGGTTTCCAAACCACTTTTATCGGATGTAAAGTAAAAGCATGGATGGTTATGTATAACGTCTAAAGTTTCTAAAGAGTCTCTCAAAGTCCAGTCTACTTGGTATTGAAAATCCCATGTGTTATAGAACGGCGGGTCCACTATAAAGAAAACATTTTCCTTGTCTTTATATTTTTCATAAACTCTGTCCAATGACATCTCACAAACTCTATACCCTCAATATATTTTTCTATGTCCTCTTTGAAAACATTTGTATAGTTAAGATATAAAACTTTTGACATAAGTGTTTCAATGTCATGAACTCTTATAGCACACTATATAATAGTCTAGCAGATATACTATCCCAGTCTATATATTCTGCTTTTTTCAAAACCTCTCTCACAATATTTTTCTATCTAATGGTATACGTTCCATCTTACCTATAGGTATCTTTTCTTTTAACTCTTTCAATATATTGTTTGTGTCTGGAATATGTTTGAGACGGTTCATATAGTTGTCGAAGTCATTGCATATAATCTTTGAGTCAGGAAATACGGTATGACATAAATGGGATATATAGAAACTTCCACCGAACAAATCTACAAATGTTAGACCATTCGGTAGTTTCTTAAGTTCCTCAATAGAATATCTTTACATCTACTCTTATTTCCAAAGAACGGTAACGGTGGTTTTGTAAAATTCATTTATATATAATAATAAAAAATGTTTTTTCCTGAAAGTGACAGAAAAGTGACAAAACATGAAAAACATATATAATTTGTGAAAAGCGACACATTATATAATGTTTTCGACCCAGAAGAAGGCTTCTCAAAGTATACTTCCTTGGAACGCCTGTAACTTTTCCTGTAGCGACGATAGACCCTTACTTGTCCGGACAAAGTTATACTAAACATCTTCAGGGCTAGAGGGCACGAAGTGCCTGGAGGCCCCATTACCTTTTTTTTTTTTTTTTTTTTTTATGTTTCAGAATTACATGATCCAAAATATCATATTTATCTATAAAATCTTCTTCATAAAATTGAATGGAAGATGAGCTGAATTCTTTAAGCGAAGAACTCAGAGATTATGTAATTCAACGCGAAGATTTCAGTGTAGAAAAGATTATCGCTGAAGGTGGACATGGAAAAGTATACTTTGCAAGAAATAAAACAAATCAAATTTCATGTGCACTCAAAGAACTCAACGTTGAAGCATTTAATGATAAAACTATAAAAGAGTATAAGCAAGAAATCAAAGTAATGTCACTTTCTAACAATTTTTTTGTTGTTCCATTTGTTGGATTTACAACTAAACATCCGTATACAATAATCACACGATTTATTCCAAATGGAAGCGTATATGAAGCATTACATTCAACTGATTCTTCAAAAAAACTTACAGGTACCCAAAAAACAATAATTGCTCTTGGTGTAGCTGCAGGTATGGCTCATCTTCATTCTCGTGGCATAATACATAGAGATTTAAAGTCTCTTAACGTACTTTTAGACTCAAAAACATATCCGAAAATTTGTGATTTCGGATTATCTCATTTTGACACAGATTCATCAATTATTGACCAAAATACAGGAACACCACACTTGATGGCACCAGAATTGTTCGAATCTAAACCGTATACAAACAAAGTTGACGTTTATTCTTACGGAATTTTATTATACGAATTATTAACTTCAAAAATACCATTTAACGGAATGACGTCATTACAAATCATGAATGCAGTCTGCATAGAGAAAAAGAGACCAAAAATACCAGATTCTGCTCCAGAAAAATTAAAATTTCTAATAAATTTATGTTGGTCGCAAAATCCAGATTTCAGACCATCATTCGACAGTATATATCAATTATTTGCTGATCACAAGGTCGGATTCGATCAAACTGACTTTAATGAAGTTGATAAATTAATTTCAGAGTTTTCATCGATGTCAGATAAATACAGTAACTCTATAGCATACAGATATAGCAAAGATATCGTTAATGATCAAAACGAAGAAGATATAATAAATTATATTTCAATAATCGAGTTTGGAGACAAAGATTCAATTGAGATCTGCGCCAAAACATTACCTTTAAAGCAAATACCCAATTTCTTTGAAGCAGTTCGATATTTTTTGAAAAATACCAAAAATGAAATTCCAATTTTGAAAGATCTACTGATAATTATCCTCAAAATGATCACTACTAATACTAAGAATACAAAGGCCTTTGCAAATTCAGGGATTATCGACATTTTACCGTTTAATTCAGATTATTATAAAATATCTTTTTCAATTTTGGAGCCAGTCATAGAGATTTATCCAAGAACAGTTACAGAAGACATCATTGAGGCCATATTTGCGTTTTCGGAGTCAGATCCCTTGAAAGTACTCCGTTTATCCAAAATTGTTTCTTTACATTTCGATTCTTTGGAGAAAACGAAGTGGTTTTTCGCAAACGAGCTTATGAATCGATCAGAAACATTCATGAATACAAAATACTCTTTATTGTACATTAGAATATTAAGACAGATCCTTTAAAACTCTTCAATCTTTAGAGATTCAAGAATTGAAAAAATTTCAAAAAATTTTGTCAAATTTTTGGAAAAAAGTGACAACAAAAAAGAAATTTACTTGGAACTTGCCGCAATACGTCCAGAAACATTAGATATAGATCCATCTTCATTATCTAAGGATTTATCCAATGAAAATCGTGTTTACGTTTTAAATTTGCTGTCAAACACTGTTCCACGACGAGTAAGTACAGAATTGATTGAAGCACTGGCTAAGCCTGACCACGAACTTGTTAAGATCGCATTGCTTAAGATTTCTGGCGCTCATAATTCGATAATTATAAAAACATATGGCAAATGGTCAAACTGCGTATCCAGTATTGACACAATTAAGATACTGGCATGCTGTGCTACTTCAAAACAGTACAAACAAGAGATTTTGCAGATTGAAAATCTTCCTTCAGTTATTTCTAAAGCTTTAGAAGATAAAACCAGAGAAACACTTGTAATTGTTAAGGAATTCCTTAAATTCATCGGAATCTCCAAAGATTTTGTTGTTGAATTACAAAAATTTGATTTCGTTAAAAAGTTATTGACATATTCCGATGATTCCGAGAACCTCTATTCAGTTTTTGCTATATTAGATCGGATTTTACGTTTATCTTTCACGAAAGATTGTTTAGATTTTATTAAAATTGCAAAAGACTCATTGAACACGAATTATCTCCAGAAACCATCTCTTTCTTTCCTTTCTCTTATTTGTGCACTCGACCAACAAGCAAAGTCTTCTGTTATTTCATCAGGAGTTATTAACACATTAAAGAGCGCAAATATATCGGATAATTCAGCACAACTCGCTGAAATACTATCAAACAACTTGTTATGATTATATTTTTTTTTAAACATGTTATGTTATTTTTAATTTATATAACATTTTTATATAGATATGAATATAGAATCGCGTATGTAGAATCATATTGATATGGAGCGGATGCGCGGTTATATAAATCTAATATAGATTGAAGTCATTTTTGACAGGAATAATGTATAATATACAGGAATAATGTATGAATACAGGAATATTGATCTCAAGAGAGGCAACATTCGATATGAAAGTTTCCTCTGTCGAGAAACTTCCTCACACCTCAAGAGATGCGAAGAACTTTTGACAGGCAAAGTGCAATATTGATAGGTGATTGCACTTTGCCTGTCACATACATCTCGACAGAGGCAACATTCGATATGAAAGTTTCCTCTGTCGAGAAACTTCCTCACACCTCAAGAGATGCGAAGAACTTTTGACAGGCAAAGTGCAATATTGATAGGTGATTGCACTTTGCCTGTCACATACATCTCGACAGAGGCAACATTCGATATGAAAGTTTCCTCTGTTGAGAAACTTCCTCACACCTCAAGAGATGCGAAGAACTTTTGACAGGCAAAGTGCAATATTGATAGGTGATTGCACTTTGCCTGTCACATACATCTCGACAGAGGCAACATTCGATATGAAAGTTTCCTCTGTTGAGAAACTTCCTCACACCTCAAGAGATGCGAAGAACTTTTGACAGGCAAAGTGCAATATTGATAGGTGATTGCACTTTGCCTGTCACATACATCTCGACAGAGGCAACATTCGATATGAAAGTTTCCTCTGTCGAGAAACTTCCTCGAAACTCAAATTTTTCTTTAGAACTACAATATCTTAACAATTAGCTCATCAAAACACAACCTATAAACTTTAATTTTTACTTTTGTTTTTTTCAATATATGAACTAAATTTTTTTTTTCAAATTACTCCCACACTGGGAAAAGTATTTTAACTCAGATGTTGCCAACCTCTTCATCATTGCATTAACAAGTGCTTTGACTTAGAGGTTGCCAGCCTCTTCATCATTGCATTAACAAATGCTTTGACTCAGAGGTTGCCAACCTCTTCATCATTGCATTAACAAGTGCTTTGACTTAGAGGTTGCCAGCCTCTTCATCATTGCATTAACAAGTGCTTTGACTCAGAGGTTGCCAGCCTCTTCATCATTGTAAAAATGTATTACCGCTTTTTTTTTTAATTCAATCGTAACATCTCAATTATCCCGCCAAAAATTATTGGGTCTAAATTGGTTTTTATTATTATTTTCAGAAACAAACTAACTTGTTTTTTAGGAATTTATCATTCATAAAGTCTTTATGATATATTTTCAACTTATAATGAATATGAAATTATAATTGTTACCCTACTTTTCCAACATTTAGAAAACATGCATGACCCCCTACCCAGGGTCCAAAAATTGGTATTTTCTGCGCTCAGGCAACATGAGTTTTTGGGCCGCCAAATGAATAGCTCAAATAGTTTCCTCATATAGAGACATGCTTATGCTTAGAGTTTGAAGGGAATCTAAAGTGATTTTTTTCTGCATTTCGAAATCTAATGCAATCTTAAAATCATGATTAAACTGCGAATCTGGGCGCAATTTTTTAATATGTTAATATATGAAGGTACTCCTACTACTGCGAATGCTTCAAATGAAAATTCAAGAAATCAGATTAATTTGATCACATTAGTATAGTAGTGGTCAATCCAAAAACTCATATGTTGATATATAACCTATAGATGATAATTATCGACTCTTCATTGAAATGCATAAGATTTAATAATCTCATAAATATTCTTTTTAATTTTCAGTATTTCGTGTGCATTTAGATTGCATATACCTGTATATGATATTTCTAGAATGTTTTGGTTAGATATTAAGTTTTTTAGATTAATATTTTAACATTTTGATAAAACAAGCAATTGTTCCATTTTGGAATCGCGATTGAACTCTAGTTTGACTAATATGATGTTGTATGATCAAATAAATTCTAACTTCATGAGATAAATTTTGAAATTAGAAAATGCGATATCTGACTCAAATATTTATCTGAGCACATTTAACATTCAATTATAAACTAAAGTAATATACAGCAGATTCGATTTGGCTTATATTTTAAATATTCAACAAATAATCTTATAAAATTGTGCTATTCACGTTTCTCAAAGATGAATTAAGCATTTACAACTTGTGCATTGATGGAATTAGATATGGATTCTAATGTTAATCGATATTTTGTAAATTGATATATATTTTATCATGGTTTGACATTTGATCGTGTTGAAACCGGAATTGCAATATGCATCATCTATATATATAATTGTCAAAATATGAGCTATAGATTTTTAAATTATGCTCCTGATTATGAGTGACTTATATGATTATATTGAATTGAGTAGTAAGAATCATAAATATTAGAATATTACGATAATGTATTATAACCTTATAGAAGCTTAAGGCTAAAAATGATGATGAAAATGTAGCTCAAATTTAAGTCTAAAATTTTGAAAAAATTAAGTGCTTATGATAGTATGACGATATTGGTGTTTGAATGTAAGAAATTAGAGATGTATTAGAAGCATTATGAGAAAATAATAAGATATAAAAACAAATTTTATGAAATAATTTAAGTTATAAGAGGTGTTAACATTGGTAATGTGTGAATAGAGAGGAAGCACCTTGATCACGAAGAAGGAAGCACTTTGACTGAGAGAGAAGTGCATTTGTTGAAGAGAGGAAGCACCTTGATGAAGAGAGGAAGCATCTTGATCAAGAGAGGAAGCACTTTGTTGAAGAGAGGAAGCACTTTGATGAAGAGAGGGAAGCACTTGATGAAGAGAGAGGAAGCATCTTGATCAAGAGAGGAAGCATCTTGATCAAGAGAGGAATCACTTTGTTGAAGAGAGGAAGCACCTTGATCAAAGAGAGGAAGCACTTTGATGAAGAGAGGAAGCACTTTGTTGAAGAGAGGAAGCACCTTGATGAAGAGAGGAAGCATCTTGATCAAGAGAGGAAGCACTTTGTTGAAGAGAGGAAGCACTTTGATGAAGAGAGGAAGCACCTTGATCAAGAGAGGAAGCATCTTGATCAAGAGAGGAAGCTGCATGATGGAGTGAGGAAGTTAGTATACATAAGTCGTGTAGCGGAGGCACTGGCGTTCCTCCATACGCAATACTTGTGAATTTGAGGGATAACATCTGCTTTCAAAGAAGTTCTTTATAGGTTTCTCGTTTAAAGTTCCTTTTGTTGGATTTATACAAACAGTATGGTTCTTATTGTCTTGAAACAGAAACTCATCTGTCATTGGGTTAAATGTCAGTTTTAAGTTTCCTTCTTTCAATGACTCAGATATCTTAAGATAGTTTGAAAAGTTTGTTGTGTTCTTATTTAGAGCTTGTATAATGAGTTGTCGGTTGTGTTGTATTTCTCTCATAGACGCTGTTTCATTTGACATTTTTATTCTAGATAAAATATGCTTTCAATAGAAAAAGAAAATTCAAGAGTTGCTACAACTAAACCATTAGATGAACTTTTTACGAATGTCGGTCAAAAGTTTGAGACAGAGACGTAAAGCATGAAGGCTATCGTTTTGACTACCCGTTAAGATGGTTAAGAGACCCATTGTCACAAAAGCTATTGGCTTTCGTAGAATGAAGTTCATTTCAGAAGCCATACATGGTTTCCCATTTACGGTCGGTTTTGAAGTTCGATACTATAACAAAGAAAAACGTATGTATGAGAAATTTGAACAGGGAAAACTTTTACAAGTGAATTTGCTTGTAAACTTAGAAACAACTCTCAAGCTTTTCAAGAAAAAATAAACGACACTATATCGAATATGCAAAGCAGTATAAACATTGACGAAGGAGAGTACCATCTCGATATTATATATGACAGGAAAAATGCAACTGTTAAAATCAATAGAATAGAAGACCTTGGAGAAAACGTTTATATTTCTACAAAATATAACAATTTGGCATGGTATAGATTTCTGAGGATGTTAAATCAGCCTGCAGAATATCCAGTACACCCGGACTTTTATGAAGTCGAAAACCCTAATGGAACATATGAAAATGTTTTCGACTCAGATGCTATTATCGTTCATGCTTCATTTTCTGGTGCGCAAAACTCTTTTTTATGCTTGGCAAATGACTTTTACGAAAAACCTACAAAGCTATATGAACCACCAAGTGGAAGTATTTCAGACTTTCAAGTATGGTTTACAACAGATGGAAGAAAGAGAATAGTTCCATTATACCATGCGTTTTACTTAGAACTTAGTTTCATATACAACTACTATCGAACGGTAAAAATATAATTTTTTAATACGGTTGAGGTGTTGATTTGGTTGCCAACTAGACTGTGGTGCAGGTTCAGGCTGTTGTATAACAGGAGCTTGTTCTTCTGGTTCAGGGTCTTTAGGTATAATACCAACAAACTGACCTACTCTTTTACCAATATTTTTGACTCCGTTCCAAATTCCTCTTCCTACGGTTTTTATTCCATTCCATATACCTCTTCCAACTCTTCTGAAGAAGTTTCCAATACTACTGAAGAAACCCATTTTACTATATGTAAAAATCTAATGTCCGCCTAGTCTCTTACGTTTCCTGTTGAGTTCCATAGCATTTTTTAACTGGAGCTCATACATTCTGTTTCTCCTCTGGTAGAAAACATATTCTGGGTCAACTCCTGTGTTCGCGTCATCTGCATAAAGTTGTTTATATCCCACTTCAGGTTTGTATAAAACTCTTTCCATCTCATATTTGCATACCATGGTGGCAAACCTAACGCAGCGTCATTTGACATGGCAGTTTGCATTTGTACATCTGTTGGCACTTGACCATAGTTTGCCATTGCAGTTTGTATTCTAACTTCATTTGGAATATTCTCTGGGTTTGGTTGTCCAGGTTGCTGTGCATTCGCTAAGTTCTGTGCGTCCATTTAATATTAGATAAAAATATCTCTTACGAGTACATATGCTGAACATTTGCAGGCATTGGTTCATCTTTATATTCTCTGTACTTTTCTGCCACGTCAAATAAATAAATGACACAATGGAAAAAACCTAAAACAAGTAGTCCTTTCAAACCACATTTACTTACTAGTAAAATTTCTTTGTTATGACACTTTCTCCGGTTTATAGAGCCTCTCTCATATTCTATCTTGTCATATCTAAACTCATAGTCATGTATGTCCTCTAACCATCTCATAACGGTTTCCAAACCACTTTTATCGGATGTAAAGTAAAAGCATGGATGGTTATGTATAACGTCTAAAGTTTCTAAGAGTCTCTCAAAGTCCAGTCTACTTGGTATTGAAAATCCCATGTGTTATAGAACGGCGGGTCCACTAATAAGAAAACATTTTCCTTGTCTTTATATTTTTCATACAACTCTGTCCAATGACATCTCACAAACTCTATACCCTCAATATATTTTTCTATGTCCTCTTTGAAAACATTTGTATAGTTAAGATATAAAACTTTTGACATAAGTGTTTCAATGTCATGAACTCTTATAGCACCACTATATAATAGTCTAGCAGATATACTATCCCAGTCTATATATTCTGCTTTTTTCAAAACCTCTCTCACAATATTTTTCTTATCTAATGGTATACGTTCCATCTTACCTATAGGTATCTTTTCTTTTAACTCTTTCAATATATTGTTTGTGTCTGGAATATGTTTGAGACGGTTCATATAGTTGTCGAAGTCATTGCATATAATCTTTGAGTCAGGAAATACGGTATGACATAAATGGGATATATAGAAACTTCCACCGAACAAATCTACAAATGTTAGACCATTCGGTAGTTTCTTAAGTTCTCTCAATAGAATATCTTTACATCTACTCTTATTTCCAAAGAACGGTAACGGTGGTTTTGTAAAATTCATTTATATATAATAATAAAAATGTTTTTTCCTGAAAAGTGACAGAAAAGTGACAAAACATGAAACATTATTAATTTGTGAAAAGCGACACATTATATAATGTTTTCGACCCAGAAGAAGGCTTCTCAAAGTATACTTCCTTGGAACGCCTGTAACTTTTCCTGTAGCGACGATAGACCCTTACTTTGTCCGGACAAAGTTATACTAAACATCTTCAGGGCTAGAGGGCACGAAGTGCCTGGAGGCCCCATTACCTTTTTTTTTTTTTTTTTTTTTTATGTTTCAGAATTACATGATCCAAAATATCATATTTATCTATAAATCTTCTTCATAAAATTGAATGGAAGATGAGCTGAATTCTTTAAGCGAAGAACTCAGAGATTATGTAATTCAACGCGAAGATTTCAGTGTAGAAAAGATTATCGCTGAAGGTGGACATGGAAAAGTATACTTTGCAAAGAATATAAACAAATCAAATTTCATGTGCACTCAAAGAACTCAACGTTGAAGCATTTAATGATAAAACTATAAAGAGTATAAGCAAGAAATCAAAGTAATGTCACTTTCTAACAATTTTTTTGTTGTTCCATTTGTTGGATTTACAACTAAACATCCGTATACAATAATCACACGATTTATTCCAAATGGAAGCGTATATGAAGCATTACATTCAACTGATTCTTCAAAAAAACTTACAGGTACCAAAAAAACAATAATTGCTCTTGGTGTAGCTGCAGGTATGGCTCATCTTCATTCTCGTGGCATAATACATAGAGATTTAAAGTCTCTTAACGTACTTTTAGACTCAAAAACATATCCGAAAATTTGTGATTTCGGATTATCTCATTTTGACACAGATTCATCAATTATTGACCAAAATACAGGAACACCACACTTGATGGCACCAAGAATTGTTCGAATCTAAACCGTATACAAACAAAGTTGACGTTTATTCTTACGGAATTTTATTATACGAATTATTAACTTCAAAAATACCATTTAACGGAATGACGTCATTACAAATCATGAATGCAGTCTGCATAGAGAAAAAGAGACCAAAAATACCAGATTCTGCTCCAGAAAAATTAAAATTTCTAATAAATTTATGTTGGTCGCAAAATCCAGATTTCAGACCATCATTCGACAGTATATATCAATTATTTGCTGATCACAAGGTCGGATTCGATCAAACTGACTTTAATGAAGTTGATAAATTAATTTCAGAGTTTTCATCGATGTCAGATAAATACAGTAACTCTATAGCATACAGATATAGCAAAGATATCGTTAATGATCAAAACGAAGAAGATATAAATAAATTATATTTCAATAATCGAGTTTGGAGACAAAGATTCAATTGAGATCTGCGCCAAAACTTACTTAAAGCAAATACCAATTTCTTTGAAGCAGTTCGATATTTTTTGAAAAATACCAAAAATGAAATTCCAATTTTGAAAGATCTACTGATAATTATCCTCAAAATGATCACTACTAATACTAAGAATACAAAGGCCTTTGCAAATTCAGGGATTATCGACATTTTACCGTTTAATTCAGATTATTATAAAATTCTTTTTCAATTTTGAGGCCAGTCATAGAGATTTATCCAAGAACAGTTACAGAAGACATCATTGAGGCCATATTTGCGTTTTCGGAGTCAGATCCCTTGAAAGTACTCCGTTTATCCAAAATTGTTTCTTTACATTTCGATTCTTTGGAGAAAACGAAGTGGTTTTTCGCAACAGAGCTTATGAATCGATCAGAAACATTCATGAATACAAAATACTCTTTATTGTACATTAGAATATTAAGACAGATCCTTTAAAACTCTTCAATCTTTAGAGATTCAAGAATTGAAAAAATTTCAAAAAATTTTGTCAAATTTTTGGAAAAAAGTGACAACAAAAAAGAAATTTACTTGGAACTTGCCGCAATACGTCCAGAAACATTAGATATAGATCCATCTTCATTATCTAAGGATTTATCCAATGAAAATCGTGTTTACGTTTTAAATTTGCTGTCAAACACTGTTCCACGACGAGTAAGTACAGAATTGATGAAGCACTGGCTAAGCCTGACCACGAACTTGTTAAGATCGCATTGCTTAAGATTTCTGGCGCTCATAATTCGATAATTATAAAAACATATGGCAAATGGTCAAACTGCGTATCCAGTATTGACACAATTAAGATACTGGCATGCTGTGCTAC